AAAGAAAATGATGACGACTTTGCTGGTGAGATAATTATATTTTCGTATTCAAAAGTATCATCTTTAAACAGGTTGGGAACACATCCCCTTTAGCGAGATCATCTCTAGCGGGAGAAAATATATCTCGGAAAACCGAGATTTGTACTCCGATTCAAACTGTAATCGTGTTAACTTCAGAAAAAGGAAAATCCGGAAGTATTTCAACCCATTCGATAAATATTTAGTGTCTCATCTCAATAAATTTGCTTCAAAATATTGCCTCGACTGCTGCAAATCATGGAAATTAGAATAAGTTTATGAACAGTAGCGTAGCCTTCCTACTGAGGACCACAGATGATAATTATCAGTACAGTTAAACTTACTTCGGTTACACGTTTATTGTAATTGTACGTTTACCTTTTTTTAATATGCCTGCTTGAAAAGCGGGAGTATATACAGACTGTGGACAAAAGTATCGGAACGATTTACGACGTCGTGTAATATTTGGAAAATACTCGCGTTTGATTGGATGCTCAAAATAGCCATATTACGTAACAACTAATAAAAATAAATTACATCATTTGAAAGATGAGACAATTTTGCATTTACCTGACAAAAATAAAGCTTATTTATTAAAACTTACCTTAATATTTTGTGATGTATCCTTTGGCCCTACGTACCGCGGCGATTCTTGAGGGGAGAGATCGATATAAATTTTGAATTGTTACGCAGTCAAAACTTGTCCAAATCGAAAATATTTTATTATATAATTGTTCCACAGAAGTAATTTCATGCATGGATTGTTCTATTCTTCTTTTAATCTTTAACCATAAATTTTCTATGATGTTAATATCGGGGCTTTGTGCTGGCCACTCCATTGTATTGATATGGTTGTTTTCCATAAAAGCTTTCGTTGCCCTAGAACGACGAACTGGTGCATTATCATCTTGAAAAACGTAACTATTGTCTGGAAAGTGTCTTGCTATCACTGGCCATAGATTGTCATCTATAATTCGAATATATTTATCTGAATTTATGTTTCCCTCCACACGTGTTAATGTCCCGACGCCATGATAGGTTATGCAACCCCAAACCATTACGGAAAGTTTTTTGTTTTTTATTGGTGAAATGCATTCTGGTCTAAATGCCTCATCACTTTTTCTCCAGATATAAACTTTATTGTCACTGCCAATATAACAACTTGACTCTCGTCTGAAAAAATTACCTTTTTCCAGTCATCGTCTGTCCATGTTGATTTCGCACGACACCATGCTACTCTCCGCTGTCTGTTTACTGGGGAAATCCTTATTTTTTTCTTACAAACACAGCGATGATATTTTTGATTCTTCAAAAATCGCCACACTGTCTTTTTAGACACATTTCTGTTTTCATTGTTGTTGAATGTTTCCGTCAAATCAGCCAGCGGAGTTTTCCTGTTAGTTTTCACTTCTCGCAAAATTTTTCTCCCGTCACGATCGCTCAAACTTTTTTTCCTACCTGTTTTCGGGGCAGTTTTTACAGTTCCTCGTTCACAAAAATTTTTATAAATTCGATGCACAGTTGTTTTAGACATTTTAAGCATATCTGCAACTTTTTGAAAAGAATTTCCATTTTGAACTAATAAAACAACAGATTTTTTAAGACCCTCCGATGCATAATGACGATTCTCAGCCATGATTTTTGGGGACAGATTTTACTTACTTTTAGGTTGCAGACGATAAATAATGACGTAGTTAATGTAAACAGGAAGTAGTCATCAACCTAAAAATACCCAAGGTGTAACAACAAATCGTGTCTACACCGAAAATGCCAGCTATAAATAATGCGAACATGTGCATCAATAAATAAACTAACGTAAATCGTTCCGATACTTTTGTCCACAGTCTGTACATGTACAGCATATGATATAGTGAATGATGGGGTGTCCGTCACGTTGGACTTTCCGTATGGCATGCCGATCTTGACACGAAGTTTGTTTGGTGACTGTAGTGGAAAGTATATAGGGAACTTATACTGCCTCGCTAGTGAGCTAGCTTTTCTGGTGATGCGGTAGAGCAGGGTTGCAAATAACATTTAAACCTTAGGGGCCATGTGGGCCCCCAACTTCACAAATTTTACTAGCCCACATTGATTTCATGGGGCCCACAATTTTTTTTTCACTTTGTAAAAAATCTTTTCATATGAAAACATAAGAGAAAAATACTTTATGGCCATAGTATTTCATTATTTCTTTTCATTTTTTTCCTGCAGACTTTAATTTACATTACTAAATGTATGAAATTCAATGTTATCATTCAATTCAAATTTGCTTCTTTTGATTTCAGTTGTTTCAGGGCATGTATTTTGAATTAGGTTTAAAAAATATTTGATTCTTGTAACATTCCCAGATAACCAAGGGTCGGAATGTTGTTTTTCTTTTCATAAATGAAGGAGCCAAACATACCTGGACTGAATTAACCAGGTGTTATATTTACAGTGGACACCCAACATGGCTGCCTTTAGCGGCAGAAAAAATATTACAATAATGATTACTATTTAAATTTAAGGTAAATGTTGATTGATTGACATATTTTGTATCTCAAATAAAGCTACAATTAATATTTGAAAAATGGAATCAGTTGAATGATCAAACACAGAAAAATCCGCCTGGTATGTGAAAACGAAAGTACATAGAATAGTTGAACCAAACTACGATCTGATTCTGGAAAAGGTCCGATAAAATTCTTACTCGCCATGTGGGCGATAATATTCTCAAGAGCTGGTCGCCCACAAGAAAATTTACTCGCATTTGCGAGTGGGCGAGTGGTTATTTGCAACCCTGTAGAGTCTCCCTCTATTTCAGGCAAGTTAAGCAACGGCGAGCCTGTTTAACCCTTGGATGGGTGACCGCTTCACATTACAGTGACCAAGGCAATAGATTCTCAAATCGCCTGATTGACCGATATTAAGCCCCACCTTCTTAGTGTAAGAAGCGGCCTCATTCTCATCAGAGTTTTCAGGATCTTCTAACAGATATTTTATATTTAACCCGTGATATAAAAAAAAAAAAAACTTTCAGTATCAAATTTAAATTCTCGTCCTGCGTAAACCCTAAAATTACTTTATCCAAAACTATTGCACTGTAAAAATTATATTAGAAACGTGATCTTTTAGACGGCGAGAGATGCCTGATGGTACATGTAGATGGACGGATATGTAAAGGGGGGGGGTACTCGGAAAAAAATACAGTAGGTAGGTTGTGCAACTAAATTTCTTTAAATGTATGATATGTATCAAGATTCTGATCTGGCATGGTAAACGCTATCGACATAACCATTTTCAAACCACAACCATATTAATTAAAAGGGTCTTATCGGTGACAAATTAAGACTCTTCTAATAGGAAGCTATTCATAAACGGTAGATCATCATTTATATATAAAGGTGACAACAGCCTCTCTTAATAACTCAATAAAACAATTACAAGGTAAATGTATAATAAAATGTAAAATTCGAAGTATTCCATGCAGCCTTCGTACAGCCTACTCCGGATATATTGAAATTCAGGGGACCATGCAAATTATTTCAATATATCCGTAATTCAATATAAGCGAAATTGTGAAGCCGCCATTTTTACAAGTTCAATCCCGATCTAAAATAAAGAAGAACAAACCCGAACAAATTCATGTTGTCATCGTTTATCTATAACAGTGAACATATTACATAGAATATTAGTCCTTGAAAGTTTAAATATTTTTCTTTTATTTCTGTTTCATTGAAAAGACAATCTTCAACCTCATAATTATTCCCCGATCGCATTTATTTGCGTTTTGGAGAAAATTCACCGGACTTAAACGGTTGAGTACTGCTGAACGCTGCTTGTATTTCTACGTAAGTGTACTCGGGTTAATCCCTTAGTTATTTTGAATCTAGGCATATCAATAGCCATTAACAGTACGTATTTAATTTCAAAGTTATGTTTTTTCCTAGATCTGTGGGGGTTACTATATTACGTTTAGCTGTTTAGCCTCAATATGTCCGTATTAAATACATGTACATGGACGCAAAGAATTTAATAGTGAAGAATTCTATTTCGTAAGAGCATGCAATATAAAAACACCTGAGGTGAAAACTTAATTATTCACACCTGTGTATATCAACTGGTCAATCAGGCATAATTACTGTCACCAACCGTAACGACAGCCGCCAGGGAGTACTTCAATATAACCGTTATGAAAACAACTCATTATCACCTGTGGGGACCGATTAGTGGCTTCAATATAAGCGAAATTTCAATATATCCGATTTCAATATAACCGTTATTTTAATGCAAAGAATATGAGAGGCAAAAACTGGGGATTTATTTCTATTTCAAAATAAGCGGAATTTCAAAATAAGCGAGTTCAATATAAGTGGAGTAAGCTGTATATATTTTTTCAAAATAAAGCATACCTTTAGTAGTATTCATCCGCCGCCAAAATACGGCTGATATATTGCCGACTCGGCATTTAATGATAAACAATCAATACTTTTTTTTAAATTTATTTCATTCGGGTGACAGATTTTTCAGAGGCCCCCCCTTTTATTTTTAAATATAAAAATACCACCTGGTCTGTGTTCTTTCATGTAGCCTATGTTTTGGAAAGTATCTGATTCCCTATTATTTACACATGTTCACTTATTCGGGATCCCAACATATGCTTCCAATGCAATTAAAGTATCCTCAAATGAAGAACTGTTCATTGCCACCGGGTAAAAACATAAAGAATTATGTCATTAAAATAAGAATACCTAGGGCATGCTTCTTTAAATTATAGCAGCATGTTAAAAACAGTAATTTCAACAATTTTGCATTTTTGTTTTCTTTAATTATCGTAGTTATGAAAAGTAATTCAAGGTAACATGTTTAATTTTCACTTTCAACAGGCACGTTTCAGTGTTAATGAAAGAAAGGGTAGGTGGTAACTGAAAAAAGTTCAACCCCCCCCCCCCTTCTATCCGCACGAAATAGGATTTCCAGGTTTGGACAATGGTCAAATTCTCCTCTTTTTTGTCAATTTTTTTTAGGTTGAATTTTTTCTCTTTGAATTAGCCCCCCTTTTCTTCTCCAATTTTCCGATGCCGTTGAATTGTGCTTTCCTGAATTTACAACGTTACCAAGTATCAACACTGAGTCAATATATCTGTAAGACTCAATTCAGACCTTTTTTATTAATTTCTTTTCAATATTTTATTAAATCAAGTAATGGTTTATCCATATTCTATACACATCTCAATTTATACTTCGTTTTTTTTTAATCATGACTTTTCCACAAACATGACAACCCTGTTGCGCTTCCGTACTTCTAAGCGTCAAACAAAGATCAAATATTTAAGCAAATATCACGGGTTTCTGAAGAACATTATTTTTAACTTTTGTACAAGAATGGAAAGCCAAGACCCGAATGAATAAAATTTCGATATCTATTCATATTTTATATGCTTCAAAAACATATATGACTGTAAATCTTGAAACCTTCGCTAAAAAAGGCATGATTTTCACGTGGATTTCAGCCTCTTATTCTCACACGCAGCAGTGATTGCCTTAAATTTCTAGCCACTATTGTCAGTTTTTTGTTGTAAATTCACGCTTCAGTGCAGCTTTCTCCCGGATTTTCAATACGCACGAGATTTTTGATTATTTTATAATAAAAACAAAAAAATACCTGTTTATGATAATGTTTTTTCTCCCGCTAGAGAGGGATAATCCCGATTTAGCGAGATGATCTCGCTAAAGGGGATGTGTTCTCAACCTGTTAAATTATTTTCCTCCAACAGGTTTAAAACTGTTTGTGGTAGCTATTGCCAGCGACATTGTTTAGGTCTCTGTTAAATCTTACAGCCTAAGCACCATTCTTCAGAAAAGGTCACTTATGCATCAGATGTAATGAATAAAACTATGGGAGAAGTTAAGTCCATTTGAGGAAGGGCCGAGGCAATACGCACGAAGGTCGATCGTGCTAACATTACCCAGTCTACGCGAAAGTTTGAAATTTTTACAGGACAAAATGTTTGGTAAAAATAAAATTTTTACTAGACCAAGCAATTTCTTACCAGGCAGACTTTTTTCCTTTAAATCCATACATCATTATGATACTGAGATTGAGAGGGTGGGTTAATTCTCACTGTGAAATTTAAATTCAGTCTCAGAGTGAAATCATGGAAATGGACAAGTTAACTATTTATAATTTTCCTTTGTAAAACAATTGCATGCATTTTTTTCTTCATATTTGGATTGTACAACATACACTGAATCAAAGATTTTCTAAAATTTAATATGCACTTTCAATGCATATTTATTAGTCCCCTACCGGTGAAACCCGAGGGGACTATAGGTTTCCTCTGCGTTTGTCCGTCTGTCTGTCTGTCCCCGTCTGTCTGTCAGTCTGTCCCACTTGGTTTTCCACACTTTTTTTCCAAACGCTGGCAGATATTGAGCGATTTTTAGTACGTGGGTGTATCTTGATGAGTTACAGATCAAGTTTGAATATCATTGCGATTCAATGATTTTTTATGGAATTACGGCCTTTTCAATTTTTCAGGGTTTTCCGCACTTTTCTTCTAAACGCTTGCAGATATTGAGCTGGGTAAGTATAAGACTTTACCTTAATTAGTTATAGATCAAGTTTGCATTTCATTCTGCTTAATTGAATTTTGAAAGAATTGCGGTATTTTTATCTTTTTAATTTTATTTCATAACTGGGTTAAATATAGGGTTCGTGATGCACTACATTTATGTCGTGATGCACTCAATTAATGTTCTAAACGAGATTGTCATGAATTGAAACTTGCTGGATAGCTTTTATAAATTGATTAATTAAAGATCAAGTTTGCATTTCGTTCTACTTCATTGATTTATGAAGGAATTGTGGTATTTTTTTTTTTTTTAACAATTGGGTTCACAATAGGGATCGTGATGCACTAAATTAATGTCGTGATGCACTACTGGATCAATCGGCAATCCTCTGCTGACTCCGCTACGCTCCATTCAATTCATTATGTGTGAGGTACAAGTCATCCGAGGAACTCCCAGTGCTACTGGATTAATGTATCATGATTTGAAACTTGCTGGATACCTATATAGTGACAAATATAGATCAAGTTTGATTTTTTCTGGTATAAAATTGTTGTTCAACCATGTAAAATAAGCTGTTTTGATCAAAGCATTTCTGTGCGTGTCGAATGGCATTCAAAGACGTCACGAGTCTTTCTTTGTAAGGCAGATCCAATATATTTCATTCATATTCAATTATATACATTCATGGTATCTTTCCACCATATAAACATACAGAGAGAAAATATCTTCAATTCTGTATGAAGTTTGTCAGAGGTTAGAGGTCAATAGTGACCTAATCACACGGTGCAATAATATCTACCGGTACATAAATTAAACCAGAAGTCTCTGTCGAGACTGAAGCTCTACTGGTTTGAACTTATAGCAAAGGAAAAGAAAAGTACTTAAGCAGCTGGGATTTGAAATTTTACAACAGCAATAAATAGAATAATGATCGTTGATAAAGTCTCTTTATGTTCTTAGTGTAGTCTACTTGTGTGCCAAGTTATATTGAAATAAGACCAAAACTGTAGGAGGAGTAGCATTTTGAAACAATTTTACAGTCATTTCTATTTTTAGTAACCATAGCAACACCGTTCATCAAAATTAAAATTAAAATTCGATACACAGAATTATGTATCTTGGTGTATTCTACTTGTGTGCCAAGTTATACTGAAATCAGACCAAAACTGTAGGAGGAATAGCATTTTGAAACAATTTTACAGATATTTCTATTTTTAGTAACCACGGCAACACCGTTCATCGAAATTAAAAACCAATATACAGAATTATGTTTCTTAGTGTTTTCTACTTGTGTGCCAAGTTATACTGAAATCAGACCAAAACTGTAGGAGGAGTAGCATTTTGAAAGAATTTCACAGAAATTTCTATTTTTAGTAACCACGGCAACACCGTACATCGAAATCAAAAACCCATACACAGAATTATGTATCTTAGTGTAGTCTACTTGTGTGCCAAGTTATACTGAAATCAGACCAAAACTGTAGGAGGAGTAGCATTTTGAAAGAATTTCACAGAAATTTCTATTTTTATTAACCACGGCAACACCGTTCATCGAAATCAAAAACCGATACACAGAATTATGTATCTTAGTGTAGTCTACTTGTGTGCCAAGTTATATTGAAATTAGACCAAAAGTGTAGGAGGAGTAGCATTTTGAAAAATTGTTTACAAACAGACAGACAGACAGAGGGACGGACGCCGGACGCATTACTATCGCATAAGCTCTTCTGGTCTCTGACCAGTAGAGCTAAAAATGACCTGCTCTACTTAATTTCATGTATAAAAATAAACAAAATAAGCAAGCAGAATGAGTATTATTTTATTTACAATGTAAACAAGTATTTCATACAGTTTTTGGCTATCGATTCAACCTGTGTACATAGAGAAAACTATAGTAGCGTTTGTTTACATTTTTTCTTCACTTTTGTCAGCTGCACAGTCTCTAGCATTCATCCTTATTTTTTGGATAGACCTTTGGTTAAATTTTCATGATAATTAGCTCTTCTGAGCCAAAAGCTCAAAGAGCTAATGCTATGGCCATTTGTGCGGGGTGTTGCTAAAACGCGGAATGGAAAACGGAACGGAAAGCGGAACGGAACGGAAAACGGAAAATTTTTGTCAAACAAATAACATAGATTCGATATAAATTACATAAAAGAGCAATATTCTTTTTGTAAAAATCATTTCTGATAAAAATTAATTGTAAACTATTATATATTCATGAGTCATACACACCCTCCGTGGAAAAAATGTTACTGAAAGAAATTCGACCCCCCCCCCCCTCCCACACACACGAAATAAGATTTTCAAGTTTAGGCAAAGGACATATGCCCCTTATTTTGGCTTGTCAAATTTGTTGTATGTTGGAAATTTTTACTGACCACCCCCCCCCCCCCCCCCTTTCAATTTGTTTCCAGTGTCAATGTCTGTAAAAAGTACTTATGATATTAAGATTATACACGCGGTGTCGAATTCTCGAATCATGAAAGGGGGAGTGGCAGTTTCGGGTCTGTATAGTACACAGCCACATTAAAAATTGATCTATTAAACCTTATATATATATATGTTGGACACAAAAAGGGAGCAACCTATCTCAACTTCTCAGACATTTCCGTTGAGCGGGAGAACAAACTCATTTTTACGGGGTCATTCATATACACCCCCCCCCTCCCAAAAATACACAATATGTACCGCAAACAAACAAAATTTAACTTCATTGAATGCAAATATTCTGCATTATATCTACCACATGAAAGTTTTCCAACTTTGTCTATCCAGAATTTAAATATATAGAAAGCAAGTCTCTTTTGAATAGAACTTTAATAACCAGTGTGTATAAGAGATGTTTATTTGAGCTTGCCGTAAAGGTTTGCCCTAAACGTAATCATCGGTCAAGTTGACATCTTCACACTTTTTGTGAATGTAACTAATGTCATTGGCATCGGAAGCAAATTAAAAGTGGGGGGGGGGGGGGGCAACCACACAAATTTTTTTTTTAATTAAAAATAAACCTAAAAAGCAAAAAAAAAAAAAAAAAAGGGAAAGGAAATTTGCCCCAAGTCGAAAATCCTATTTCGGGGGGGGGGGGGGGGGGGGGGGGGGTGTAGGTTCGAACTCAGTTCCACAATATCTATACTAAGTATATATTTCGAACAAAAGTGGGGGGGGGGGGCTAAGCCTAAGCCCCCCCCCCCCTAGCCTCCCCGGTTCCGATGCCTATGAATGTAGTATCAGGGACCTATATGTATACTAAGTTAGTATATAGGTCCCTGGTAGTATTAAAGTTAGTGTAAAAAAATTGTACTGAAAGATGTTGGAGTTGAAACTTATCCCCTACCCGAATCAAACGATTGTTTTCTTTTTGTTTTACCCCCCTCCCAAACCAAACAATTGTCTTTTTTTGTGTTTTTGCTTGTCAAATTCTTTGACAATTCAAAATCAAGTTCGTTTATCCCCCCTTTTCAAATTCGATTCTAGGTGACTGCTATATTAGCGATTTTCGTAAATAAGAGACTGAGCATGACAAAATCAACTTGTTTTAATAGTGGGGGATTGAATATGTACAAAATAGATCATTTATTATAAAATCTCTGTATTTTAAGTGATTTAATCCAAAATAATACATTCTGTTTTCCGTTCCGCTTTCCGTTCCGTTTTCCGTTCCGCGTTTTAGCAACACCCATTTGTGCGGTGTGCGTAAACTTTTTAGAATATGGGCCATAACTCAGGAACCCCTTGGCCAATAGGTACCAAATTTGTCACAGGGTATCCTTGGCCCAAGGGCTGCCATTTATACTAAAATAAGGGTTGGGACCCTTAAACAAGGGGAGATAATCAGGAAAACAAAACCAAAAGTACTGGTTGCTAAAAAATCTTCTTCTCTATAACCACCAGGCAGATTTTCACCAAACTTACATACAAGGATCAAGATATGTCAAAGATTAAAATTTGCACGGGGAATTACCCTGGGGCAAAGGGCGTGGTCTCAAGGTCACTTCAAAGTTGACCTAAATTTAAAATTAATAAAAACGTGTACATTTTGCTTACTATAAGGACTAGGATCATCAAATCTTGTAAGTTGATGCATCTTACGACTTCACATCATGTTAATGTTTTTAAATTTTGCGGGGATTTGTTTTCAAATAGATTTGAAGGCATATTTTAGACACTTTAAGGCCTATGATCATCAAACTTTGTCAGTTGATGCATCTTGGGTCCTCGAACAATGTCAACTTAAAAGTAGTTCATCGTGACCTACTTTTTGAACTTTATGACTTATCCTTTTGAAAACATTAAATCCCATTATTTCAGACACTGTGAGGTTTAGAATCATCAAATCTTATACTTTGATGCATCTAGGGACCTTAAAACATATTCATAAAAAAGTAGGTCACTGTGACCTACTTTTTGAATTTTGCCGACATTTGTTTTCAAATGGTTTAAAATGCATATTTTGATTACCTTCAGACCTATGATCATCAAACTTGGTCGGTAGATGCATCTTGGGTCTTCGAAAAATGTCGACCAAAATGTAGGTCACAATGACCTACTTTCGACATTTTATGGCTATATTTAAGTATCTTTATTCTTAGGTATTTATTGGCTTAGATTCGTCAAACTTTGTGAGTTGATGCATCTTGGGTTTTCAATGAGTGACGACCAAAAAGAAGGTCATGGTGACCTACTTTTGACATTTTGTGGCTATAATTAACGTAGGTTGTGGATTTGCTGACGTCATTAAAACTGGGTATGCAATTTATATGATTTGGGCGACTTTCTTGTGCACATCTGATTATGACGTCACTGTAAGAAATTGAAAATATCAGTAGCCCTAAATTATCTAGCTATAACTTTTGTTGAAATTAGTAGTGTAGTGTAACAGCAGTATTCATATAACATGCTGAAGTTATCAAAAATAATGAATGCTCATTTCGATTCAAATGACCATCACTGAAAGTATTAATTAGAAAGCGTTTCACTATGTGTTATCAATCGCATCTTCTCGGGTCTATTCTGAAAGCACTTGTTTCGGAAATAAATTTTCACCCTTGTATCATGTATGATTTATAAATATTAAATGTGTATAATTATAAAACAGGCTATCTAACTCCGATTTGATTTATAAATATTAAATGTGTATAATTATAAAACAGGTTATCTAACTCCGATTTACACTCGGTATCCCCTCCTTAGAAATGCACTCATTTACACTTTCAGAGGAAATGCTGTAACAAACTGTTTATTACCATTGCCTTCTACACAGCCATATATGACATACATGTGTTTGTTTTCATTTATCTCCGTAAACAGCGTCTGCTCGCCATGGAAAGTTGAACTCAATTATGAAACAGTATGTGCTAATCTCGGACAAAGAGCAAAATTAAAAAATGAATGGGTTTAAAAATTCAATTCCATATTTTAAAAATTGCATAGAATAAATAAAATTTGATCAATTCTTATTTTCCATAAAATCACTATTCTAAGAAGTTTTCCATGTAATTTTCTATACAGATACAGAAAAACATGCATTACGTATTAGAAATCCAAAATAGGACTCCCCCCCCCCCCTCAGAAAAACAGAAAGGGGGGGGGGGGGGTCGATAGCCCAATTGCCTATATAGGTAACGGCATACGTTGTTGTTAGTTACATGTACAAATTTTATTCGCTGCGTTACTTTCCATGTTCATTCAGTAGAATTAATGTTAAATGTATATAAGTTGAAAGCCTAAGAACAAAATAAAATCTGCCCATTGATTACGCCAAATAAAATTGATGTTTAAATTATTGTCCCATTTACTCCTCTAAAAATTCCTTGTACGTTTTTTTCTTCTATCCGTAAACGTATAGGCATAAATAAAATCAAGTTAGGGAGGATATTTGGCGGAAATCGATTCATAAGAAGCTATCGTTGATTTGAGTGCCTTGCTGAATTTTCTAAAGAAAAAAGATGTATACAAAGCGTAAAAAACATATTTCTGGGGGGGGTTTAGTACCCCTGCGAGACGATCATGAATAATTCATGAATTTCCTTGAATTTTTCATGAATTTTATTCATGAAATGTTCATGAAATGTTCATGAAGATCCTATGAACTTATTATTGGACATTTTCAAATCATGAATTTTTATTGATGAAAGAAAATTGATGAATATTCATGAATATTTTTTTTCATGAATAATTCATGGAGAGTCATATTCATGAAGATTCATCATTTCAAGAATGTCCAATAATAAGTTCATTGCATCTTCATGAACTATTCATGAATAATTTGACGAATTTTTTCAGGAATGTTCATGAATGAATAAAATACATGAACCATTAGCATTCATGAATATTCTTGCTTATTTGTAAACAAAAAATGTAATATTATTCATGTTTATTCATGAAAATGCATGAAGTCATGCTAAAAAAGTAACAGTAGATGATTTATAATACAGCATCTTGAAAGATGTCAGAAATGTTGCTTGTTTTCCAACCATGGCAACAAAATCTTTGTTAAAAAACTTAAAATAGACAATTCTGACACATTAAACCATAGTAAATGAGAAATGTAGTTCATTCCTGGTAAAAGTATAAAAAATTTCAATTCAAATGCAACTCTTTGCAGAATGTTTAACCTTACTTGGTCAAAAGGAGAGGGGGATCCTAATCCTCAGCATGTTTCAAATTGTGTTTTAATGTCAGAAATTGAACAGTTTTTAATTCCAGTCTAGGACTTGTTTTCTGACTCAGTGATTGCCTCCATTTTTTGTCACTCACCAGTTATGAAGTAGATCGATCCTATATATAGTCTTCCTTCTTCATATTCTGTTATTTTCTTAAAAAGTTGACAAAGATCAGTGACTGTACTGTTTATTGGACACACCTTGTGAGAGGGTGAAAAACTACAAATTACAAAAGCATAATAAAAATTTGATAAAATATCAAAATCATAAGCAATCATACAAAATTAAATGCGTAACTTTAACATGTGAGCTAAACTGGCCTAAGCCTATCGCATGCTGGAAATTCGCGGTTTTACAAAACATTGTAGTTGCAGAATTTAAACAAACATGTTAAAATATATTGCATAATACTGTTAGATACAAATGATCAAGTTAGATATAAATTCAAGTAAAACAATATAAAACTTACTCCTTAGGGAGGCCAACATCACCAAACTTAACAGCCAAAACGCCAGGCAAACCGCATGGCTACCATAATTAGTATAAACAGAATATTGAACCCGATCGAAATAAAATTATGCAATACGAAAACGGCATAGTGATTATGCAAATAATAGATCACAAATACTGATTCTTCCACTCTACAAATTCCCACTTCCAACGTCTCGTGCGTTTTCAAGTTTGCGCCTATTCAAAAATGTACAGTAGAGCTAAGAAATACGTTAGTTTCGAATTTCCAAGATTTCTGTTTAAAAAAAATTACAAACACTATCTGAATAATTTTTCACTGAAAATACAATTTTTTTTTTTATATCAAAATAAGTTTTATCAATGAAGAATTCGAATTTTTTACATCATAAATTATACATGTATTAACTTTTAGTTTCGTATAGCAAGTATGGCGGCCCCCTATGACATGATAATAACAATCTCTCGCCCTCAGACAGAATATTCTGAGCTGTGAAGACACATAGGAGAATTAAAACTATAAAATACGAATGTGGATTATGTCATAGATACTTTACAACCATGCAGTCTGTGCTCTATCATTTACGCACGAAGCAAGGGAAACTTTTGACATTTTAACTGCACCAAAATTGAAATGTATATAGCGTTTCGATCCAGGAATAATACGGTACAGTACAAACAAGTGATATAATTTTTTAGTTGTTAATAAATATATAAAACGTTTTTTACGCAGCTCACAAAGTTCATTTTCCAGAATGTTTCATTTTCCAACAACTTGTTTAAAGTTTGATGTTAGAGAAAATTCGGTCGAACAAAGTTGTGTGATAAAAAAAGACATTAATTAAAGCACATTATGATGAATATAAGGCCAGAGTTTTTTTATTTTCTGTTTAACGGGAATTTTTAAGAAAAAATTGGGTCGAGGGGACGAAATAAAAATAAAAATAAAAGATCAAAATTTGTCGAGTCGGGGCCATAATAAAAATAAAACCAAAAATTGGTATGAATTTTTTTTTTCATTAAAATGTTGAAAAACGAAAGAAAACACAATACAATTTTGTTTACAATGTATTAGGATTTCAAATACAGATAAAAATATACAACTGCATGAGTTATCCTACTGTGGTTAATCACACTTGCACATTTATTGTAGTATGAAAGCAAATCAATATAATATTATAATTCAAATTTGTTATACAGCAACAATAATGCTGGATAGATGACAGGAAAAACTACACTGCTTAAAATTCTACACAGGTCTTCAAGTGATCATCTATCTATTGTATAAAATTTATAAAAGTCATGATGAGAAATGTTTTAAGCTATGTGTATATTATGATTTAACAGAAGTTAAAAAAAAAGCAATGGGGTTGATAGCTAACTTGACAATGCTATGTTGGTATAAAGGGATAACACATTCTTGAGGTTCCGAATGGAAATTTGTCAGCTAAACTTTTTGATGAACAACAACAAAGTCATCATGGAAGTCTTCTGAACTCTTCACAAATGGTTGGGTCTCTGCCAAGAAATCAAACTGCAAAAAAAAAAATCCTTTATGATACTTTATTAGCTAATCAAATACATGTAGTAAATGGCAGAAAGTAGAAAAAACAACTATTTACATGAGATTATTTTCTTTTCTCCATGAAGATACAAATATTTTAAGAGTTTTTTCTTAGATTAAAAAATTAATTATAATATTGTTCTATGTCCATTTTGCACTAAGAGTTTTCAATTGTACACTTCTTTCTATCCCGACCTTTCCACAGGATATGTGCAACTCCAATATAGCTGCCACTTCAGTTGTCAGTATTCTATACCAACTCTTGTAATTCTGTAGGTATCCTAGCCTCATTTTATTCGACCAAATAGACATGGACTCGTATCTAAAATATTTTAATCATCATTTTATGTCCCTGATATAGTTAGACACGATTCATTGTAAAATAAAATTTTGCCGCGAATTTTACCTCAACTTGTTATGTACAATATGTGATTAAATTAAATCTAGAATGTAAACATCTTTAAAAGACAACAAACCTATATAAAAATGCCAAACACTGTAAAATTTTAACAGAAGTTTATAACAAGACAACGTCTCAAAACTTACTTACTCCAACTATTAGGACACATGCTCCACAGTTCAAAATGCATCTGGTGTATAACAGGTTGTCAATGCTTTAACTCCCATTTCAAGAACTTTCTCGTTTTCATCATCAATGGATTTAAATTACCGTCTATAAATGTCTTGAATTGACATTCTTGCTTGTTGATAACTTGATAGAACCCGCGAAGTGTGATAAACTAGTTCCTTAAACTGGTTACGACATCGTAATCAGCAAGACGCTCGTAAAAGACTTTGATTAACACAAGCTATGTCAAACGTTTACATGATTCTTTAGAAATTAGGTGTACATCAAACCCGATTTTATTTCAAACCATCAATGAATGACACAGTCGGCGGGTATTTTAAAAACAAAAGTGAAATTGACCTCTTTTATTTTTATTTGGTATTTTTGAAAAATTGGGTCGGCGCTTCCCGTTAAACAGAAAATAAAAAAACTATGGCCTAACTGTTTAATTTAAATTATGAAGAAACACAAGTAATGAATTTGAAACAAAAAATGCTGTCAATGGTGATGCACTGTTTGTTTAATTAAAATCAAATAAAAACACGAAATGCTTAGAGATTTCATGATTTATTTTTTCAGATGGTGAAAGAATGTTATTAACTATAAATTATACCAGGGGCTTGTTCAACAATTGCATCTGCATGCAAAAGTTGTATTATGAGAGTATTGAGTGTTTTCTGTCAATCATTTTTGTCAATTATTTTAGTCTTCATGAAAATTCATGAACATTCATAATACCTTGAACTCTACATTTTTTCTGTCTTTAAAATAAAAATTACCAATATTCATATATATTCATCATTTGTTCATGAACTACATTTTATGAATATATTCATGAATAAAGTTCATGAACCATCTTTATGAACCAGTCATGAACCAGTCATGAACACATCATGAATGTTCATGAACGATTCATAAAAGTTCCTGAAATTATGAATTCCACCTCGCAGGGGTAGTCCTTGACTTCTAAATTGTCTTAATACCTACGACTTTTCAAACAAACTTAGATCACAGATCTGCGATTCAACGGGGATGGGTGGGTGGAGGGGGGGTCTGCATTTTCCAGAGGGGAATACAAGGTCACTTTTATTTTGCAAAATCCAGCGAGAATCCGCGCATGAAGAAAACTAAACAAAAAGTAAACAAACGGTAAGAATTAAACACATAATGAAAATATTTAAAAAAAAGAAACTAAAGGACTGATTTTTGGTTTTCGCCTTTTACGAGAATTGTCAATAATATTAGACGTAAAAAGCTTAAAGAGAAAATTAGAAAATTTTCTCTTTAAGCTTTTAAGCTTATTGAATCACTATGATGCTGGTCATTTGAAAGCAGATAGACATGAAATTCCTTTTTTCTTAAAATCAGTATAATTTTTTTTTGCTCCGTATACCGGATCGATATACACGACGTCAAGCGTGACGTCGCGATATTTTATGACGTTGTTCTTAAAAATGCTACATTTTTCAATATAAAAGCAATTATCTACAATTAAATTACGAGAAAATGAACCCGAAGACATATTAATATTTTCACATAGATTTATTTCAAATCAGCTCTATTTTTTAATACCAAAGGATAATCAAATTCGTCTGCACGATTTAAAAGTTATTGATATTTTTTAAAATCAAACCTTATCTGAAAATTAGCCAAAAACGACGTTTTTCCTAGTATACAATTCAATAGAATACCGTTAAAATTGTTACTACAACAATGGCATCTTTGGAATTCAATTACACAAAAACAGTGCAGACGAATTTTATAAAATTTTCAGAGTATGGAAATCAAAGGTAGAGAAATCATATAGGTAATTTTCATGGTATGTTTTCGAACAGTTTTCAAAGCCCTGCAAACCGCAACCTACGTTAAGTATCTCTGGTACTTATTGACCTAAAATCATCAATCTTTGTCAGTTGATGCATCTTTGGTTTTCAGAGATTGTCGACCAAAAAGTAGGTCACAGTGACCTACTTTTACCATTTTATGGCTATATTTAAGTATCTCAGGCACTTATTGGCTAAGAATCATCAAACTTTGTCAGTTGAGGCATCTTGGGTTTTCAGAGAATGTCGAACAAAAAGTAGGTCACCGTGACCTACTTTTGAATATTTCAGGTACGTTTTACTTTTAGCTTAGAATCATCAAACTTTGTCAATTTAGGCACCTTGGGTTTTCGGAGAACGTCAACCAAAAAGTAGGTCACTTTGACCTACTTTTGACATTTTATGGCCATATTTAATTATATCTGGTACTTATTGGCTCGGAATCATCAAACTTTGTCAGTTGAGGCATCTTACTGTTTCATTGAATGTCCAACAAGATGTAGGTCACGGTGACCTAAATTTGAATATCTCAGGTACTTATTGGCTTAGAATCAGCAAATTTTGTCAGTTTAGGCATCTTGGGTTTTGAGAATGTTTACCAAAAAGTAGGTCATGGTGACCTACTTTAGATTCACTGTGACCTACTTATGGTATTTTATAATTACATTATAATATCTTCAGTCTTAACTGGCTAAATATTATCAAACTTTGTAAGTTGATGCATTTTGGGTCTTATGATACTAATAGAGTTGGAGGCTTCTAATAGAAGTGATAGATTGTTAAATTTATCAGAAGAGCGATTCAAGGCCCTTGGGCCTCTTGTTTTATCTATAAATTCTACTCACGATAAATGTATAAATCTGTTGGAAATTATCATTGCAATCATGCTATGCACAGCTGCTAAACACCTCGGCGTTTTTGTACTTCAACCTTCAATGTAAAGCTTTCGCCAGTGTCTCCGTGTTTATAAGTGTTTTACGATAAGTATGCCTTTAGTTACTGAAATTGTATAATGTTTTTGATCAAATTGAAAATTAACTGGCTCGGACAAGTGTCTCAATCTATCGGATCCATCCATCCCTTTCCGGCGACCGAAATTCCTCCAACTTATTATCATCAAACTTCGGACGTGTTTAATTCTTGTGTCTTTTCAGCATCGATTATCAATTTTCACGAATAAAAATATTCCCAGAAAACAATCTGTTCACTATTACTGATCACAAGTAGCCTTTCACAAAATATTCCATTCGAAATAGATTCCTTAGCCTGATGAATTCGAAGC